AGACCTGTTAGCTTAAATTCAGTACCTCGGATGATAGTGGGAAACGTCATTATGCTATCAGTTTGAAAATGCCTGCAGGGGCACAAAATGCTGAATAATGAGCAACATGGGTTCACAAAGAACAAATAACATCAGGTACATTTTATTTCCCTCTATACCAAATTGATATTATTTATAGAAAGGGGAAAAGGGATCATTATATGGCTGCAAATACCATTTTAATGTTTCCATATTACCAAGTCTTAATCTTTCCCATATTTTTATCTCTGGCTAGTCATTAGAGTAGGTAGTTATATGGTATTATTTCAGATTCTGGGAAGATTTTGCTGCCCTCCAAAACAAGCTACCAATATTTAGTACTTCATTTCTTTGGCTTAAGGCTCTTTGACACTACTAAAAAGCTGTGTGACTTTGAGAAAGTTAATAAACTTTCTGAGTTTGTTTCCCTATCTGTAAAAGTTGAAGCTCTCTTCCAGCCCTCTGGATCTATTACTGAAATGAGGTACAGATTCGAGATAACATTTCAAACTGATTCATTAAACACAAGAAATTTCTTAAAGTGTAAGGTCATACAAACACTGTGACACAAACACAAATAAATGGAAGTAAAAATTATATTAGAAAATGGCTTGAGGGGAAGATGATGATGAGATGAATAATAATGGCTAACATGATATAGTAGTCACTAGACATTAATCAGAATTTTTCCATATTAGAATTAAAAAGAGACAAAAAATATTAAAAAGAAAATTACTCAAGAGTATGGAATGTAGGGGGAGATCAGCCAAGATGGTGGAGTAGAAAGACCATAAGCTTGCCCCCTCTCACAAACAAACCAAAATAACAACTATCTGCAAAACAACCATCCATAGGAAAGACAAGAATCTACCAGAAAAGATCTTCTACAACTAAAGACATAAAGAAGGAACCAAAGTGAGATGAGTAGGAAGGGCAGACTTGCAATATAGTCAAGTCACATATCCCCAGGTGGGCAACTAACAAACTGGAGAATAATTACATTGCAGAGGTTCTCCTATAGGAGAAACATAGGAATGAGAGATCTGAGCCCTACATCAGACTCCCCAGCACAGGGGTCCTGTATCAAGAAGACGAGCCCCCAGAACATTTGGATTTGAAGGCCAGCAGGGCTTACTTTCGAGGGTCCTGGGGGCTGGGGGAAATAGAGACTTCACTCTTAAAGGGCATACTCAATATCTCACATACTCTGGGACCCAGGGCAGAAGCAGGAACTTGATAGGAACCTGGGTCAAACCTACCTGTTAATCTTGGAGAGTTGCCCAGACAGGCAGGAGGCAACTGCAACTCACCGTGGGGACACAGATACAGGTGGCAGCCATTCTTGGAATCTCCTTCTACCACATGGACACTGGCACTGGCAAGTACTATTGTGGAATCCTCCCTCTAGCTTATTAGCCCAAGGCCCCAGCCCTGCCCTGGCCCAAAAACCTGTAGGCACCAGTGCTGGGATGGCTCAGGCCAAGCAACTAGCTGGGAAGGGACACAGCACCACCCATCAGCAGAAAGACTGCCTTAAGACCTTCTGGAGCCCCCAGCTGCCACCTCTGGACATGGCCCTGCCCACCAGAGGGCCCAGGATACAGCTGCATACACCAGCCTCAGAATCACCTGGGCCCTGACCATGCCCTCCAGGAAGTCTTCTGTAGCCTCTGGAGCAGTTCCAACCACCAAGGGGCAGATACCAGATGCAAGAAAGCCATAATCCCACAGCCTGTGGACCCAGCCTGCCCACCGTTAGGCCAGACCCCACTCTGGGACCAACTGGGCCCTGGACCTGCCTACTAGCAGGTCAACACAAGCCTTAGAACACCCTAGGCCCAAATGTGTTAGAAACCACACCCCCACCAGCAATCTGACACCAGCTCTGGGAAGCCTGAATGCTGAAACCAGATTCTGGGACCCAGCTCTGTCTGACAGTAGGCTGGCACTAACGCAGGACCTGGCATCACCCACCAGTGGGTGAGCAACAGCCCCAGAGACTTCTGGAACCTGATTCCACCCATCAGTGAGCCAGCACTAGCCCTGGGGCCCCCTGGGGTTCTGTATTCAGTTGCCTTGTGACCTGACCACACCACCCAGCAGCTGGCAGCCTCCACACACAGCAGGGCTGGGAAACCAACCAGACTGGGGGCCAACCAAGTTTACCAGAATGCCCACATGGTCAGACCACAATAACAGAAGGACCCATGTAGTCCTTATAGGGGGAAACCCTAGAGCACAGAGATTAAGTAATGAGAGGGGAGTGCATTGCTGGGATATATAGGATATCTCTGCTTTTCCAAGGCTGGGAAGTGTAACTAACACACCAGATACATACAAACAGCGATGCAGGCAAAATGATATAACAGAGGAACATGTTCTGGATGAAGGAACAAGATAAAACCTGAGGTGGAGATAGGCAGTCTACCTGAGAAAGGGTTCAGGGTAGTGATCATAAAGATGATCAAAGAAATCAGGAAAAGAATGGATGCACAAAGCAAGAAGTTAGAAGTTTTTAACAGAGTTAGATAATATAAACAACACCCAAACAGAGATGAATACAGTAAATGAAATGAAAAATACACTAGAAGGAATCAACAGTGCATGAAATGATACAGAGAAATGAATGAACAGGCTGGAAGAGTAGTGGAAATCACTGATGCTGAACAGAAAAAAGAAAAAAGAATGAAAAGAAATGAAGACAGTTTAAGAGACCACTGGGACAATATCAAAAACAATAATATTCACATTATAGCACTCCCAGAAGGAGAAGAGAGGGAAAGTTGCAGAGAACACACTTAAAGACATAATACCTGAAAACTTCCCTAACCTGGGAAAGGAAACAGACATCCAAGTCCAGGAAGCACAGAGAGTCCCATAAAGGATTAACTTAAAGAGGAAAATGCCAAGACACACTGTAACTAAAATGGCAAAAATTAAAGATAAAGAGAGAACATTAAAAGCAGAAAGGGAAAAGCAACAAATAACATACAAGGAAACTCCCATAAGGCTATCAGCTGACTTTTCAACAAAAACTCAGCAGGCCAGAAGGGAGTGGCACAATATATTTAAAATGATGAAAGGGAAAAACCTATAGCCAAGAATACTCTACCCAGAATGGCTCTCATTCAGATTTGACGGAGAGATCAAAAGCTTCACAGACAAGCAAAAGCTAAATGAATGCAGCACCAGCAAACCAGCTTTACAAGAAAGGTTAAAGGAACTTCTCTAAGTGAAAAAGAAAAGGCCAAAGCTAGACACATAAATTATGAAAGGAAAAAGCTCATTGGTAAAGGCAAACATACTGTAAAGGTAGGAAATCATCTCACACAAGCTAGAAGGAGGGTTAAAAGACAAAAGTAGTAAAATCATCTATATCCACAATAAGCAGTTAAGGGATATACAAAACAATTAGATGTAAAATATGATATGAAAAAAAGTAGTTGTGAGGGGAGGAGAGTACAAATACAGGGTTGTTAAAATGTATTTGACTTATATGTAGAATCTAAAAAATGCTATAAATGAACTTATTTACAAAACAGAAATAGAATCACAGATGTAGAAAACTAACCTATGGTTTCTGGGGGGAGGGGGGAGGGATAAATTGGGAGATTGGGATTGACATATACACACTATTATATATAAGGTAGAAAACTAATAAGGAAGGACCTAATGTATAGCACAGGGAACTCTACTCAATACGCTGTAATGACCTATATGGAAAAATAATCTAAAAAGCAGTGGATATATGTATATGTATAACTGATTCATTTTTCTGTACACCTGAAACTAACAGAGCATTATTTTTCTTTGTTCTTTTTTTAACAACTTTATTGGAGCATAATTGCTTTACGATACTGTGTTAGCTTCTGCTGTATAACAAAGTGAATCAGCTATATGTATACATATATCCCCATATCCCCTCCCTCTTGTGTCTCCCTCCCACCCTCTCTATCTCACCCTTCTAGGTGGTCACAAAGCACCAAGCTGATCTCCCTGTGCTATGTAGCTGCTTCCCACTAGCTATCTGTTTTACATTTGGTAGTGTATATATATATATGTCAATGCTACTCTCTCACTTCGTCCCAGCTTACCCTTCCCCATCCCCATGTCCTCAAGTCCATTCTCTACATCTGCATCTTTATTCCTGTCCTGCCCCTAGCTTCATCAGAACCATTTTTTTTAATTCCATATATATGTAAGACAACATTTTAAATCAACTACACTCCAATAAAAATTTTTAAAAAAACGGATTTGAAAGATCAGCAACTTAAAACAATCACATATATATATATATATATATATATATATATATATATATATATGTACGTATGTGTATATATATATATATATATACACACACACACATATATATATGTAAACCTCATGGTAACAACAAAGCAAAACCCTATACTAGATACACACAGACACACACACACACACACAAGGAAGCCAAACATAACACTAAAGATAATCACCAAATCACAAGAAAAGAGAACAGAGGAAGAAAAAGGAACAAAAAACATCTACATAAACAACTGCCAAACAATTAACAAAAGTGGCAATAAGAACATATACATCAATAATTACATTAAATGTAAATGGACTAAATGCTCCAATCAAAAGACACTGAGAGACTAAACGGATACAAAAACAAAACCTGTATATATGCTGCAAACAAGAGACTTAAACATCAGATTTAAAGACACACACAGACTGAAAGTTAGAGGATGTAAAAAGGTATTCCATGCAAATGGAAATCAAAAGAAAGCCACGGTAGCAATACTTATATCAGAAAAAAAGAGACTTTAAAATAAAGACTGTTACAAGAGACAAATAAGGACACTACATAATGATCAAAGGATCAATCCAAGAAGAAGGTATAACAATTGTAAATGTATATGCACACAGCATAGGAGCACCTAAAGACATAAATCACATATTATGAACATAAAGGGAGAAATAGACAGTAACACAATAATAGTAGGGGATTTTAACACTCCACTTACACTAATGGACAGATAATCCAGACAGAAATTCAACAAGGAGACACTGGCCTTAAAGGACACATTAGACGAGATGAACTTAATAGATATCTATATATCTATATCGATAGCTATATGTGTGTGTGTGTGTGTGTGTGTGTGTGTACACTACATTCCAGCCCAAGGCAAAATATACATTCTCTTCAACTGCACATGGAACATCATCTACTACAGGTCACATGCTAGGCCACAAAACAAGTCTCAGTAAGTTTAAGAAAATTGAAATCATATCACGCATCTTTACCAACCACAATGCTATGAGACTAGAAATCAACTACAAGAAAAAAATGCAAAAAACAAACACATGAAGGCTAAACAATATGCTACTAAACAACCAATAGGTCACTGAAGAAATTAAAAGGAAATCAAAAAATACTTGGAGACAAATGAAAACAAAAACAAGATGATGTAAAACTATGGGACACAGCAAAAGCAGTTCTAGGAGTTAAGTTTACAGTGATAAAAGTTTACCTCAGGAAACAAGAAAAATCTCAAAAAAAAAATGACCTAACTTTACACCTAAAGGAACTAGAAAAAGAAGAAGAAAACAAAACCCAACGTTAGAAGAAGGAAAGAAATCATAAATATCAGAGGAGAAATAAATGAAATAGAGCCTAAAAAACAATAGGAAACATCAATGAAAACAAAAGCTGGCTCTTTGTAAAGGTAAACCTTTAGCAAGATTATTCAAGAAAAAAAGAGAGAGGTCCCAAATCAATGAAATCAGAAATGAAAAAGGAGAAGTTACAACCAACACCACAGAAATACAAAGGACCATAAGAGACTACTATGAGCAACTGTACACAAATAAAATGGACAACCTAGAAGAAATGGAAAAATTCTTAGAAACGTACAAACTCCCAAAGCTGAACCAGGAATAAATAGAAAATAAGAACACACCGGGCTTCCCTGGTGGCGCAGTGGTTGAGAGTCCGCCTGCCGATGCAGGGGACACGGGTTCGTGCCCCAGTCCAGGAAGATCCCACATGCCGCGGAGCGGCTGGGCCCGTGAGCCATGGCCGCTGAACCTGTGCGTCCGGAGCCTGTGCTCCGCAATGGGAGAGGCCACAACAGTGAGAGGCCCGCGTAACGCAAAAAAAAAAAAAAAAGAACACACCAATTACCAGCAATAAAATTTAATCAGTTTAAAAAAACAAAAACTCTGAACAAACAAAAGTCCTGGACCATATAGCTTTACAGGTGAATTCTACCAAGCATTTAGAGAAGAGTTAATACATACCCTCTCAAACTATTCCAAAAAATTGCAGAAGAAGGAATGCTTCCAATCTTATTCTACAAGGCCAGGATCTCCTAGATGCCTAAACCAGACAAAGATATCACAAAAAGTGAAAATTACAGGCCAATATCACTGGTGAACATACATGCAAAAATCCTCAACAAAATACTAGCAAACCAAATCCAACAACATATTAAAAGGATCATACGCCATGATCAAGTGGGATTTACTCATGGATGCAACAATTTTTCAATATCTGCAATCAATATGATACACCATGTTAACAAATTGAAGAATAAAAATCATATGAGCATCTCAATAGATGCAGAAAAAGCTTTTGACAAAATTCGACATTGATTTATGTTGAAAACTCTCAGCAAAGTGGGCACAGAGGGAACATACCTCAACATAATAGAGGCCATGTATAACAAACCCACAGCTAACATCATAGTCAATGATGAAAAGCTGAAAGCATTTCCTCTAATGTCAGGAACAAGACAAGGATGTCCACTCTTGCCACTTTTATTCAACTTAGTTTTGGAAGTCCTAGCCATAGCAATCAGACAGGAAAAAGAAATAAAAGGAATCCAAATTGGAAAGGAAGTAAAACTGTTACTGTTTGCAGATGATATGATACTATACGTAGAAAATCCTAAAGACACCAGCAGAAAACTACTAGATCTCATCAATGAATTCAGTAAAGTTGTATAATACAAAATTATTATACAGAAATCTGTTGCATTTCTGTACACTAACAAGGAACTATCAGAAAGAGAAATCAAGGAAACAATCCCATTTACCACTGCATCAAAAAGAATAAAATACTTGGAGTAAACTTACCTAAGGAGGAAAAGGCCTATACTTGGAAAGACACTGATGAAAGAAATTGAAGATGACACAAATAGATAGCAAGATAGACTGTGTTTGTGGACTGGAATAATTAATACTGTTAAAATGACCACACTACCCAAGGCAATCTACGGATTCAATGTAATCTTTATCAAAATACCCATGGCATTTTTCACAGAACTATAACAAAAATTTTAATTTTCATGGAAACACAAAAGACCCCAAATAACCAAAACATCCTTGAGAAAGAAATACAGAGTTGGAGGAATCACACTCCCCGACTTCAGACTGTATTACAAAGCTACAGTAATCAAAACAGTATGGTACTGGCAAAAAACAGACACATAGGTCAATGGAACAGAATAGAATGTCCAGAAATAAATCCACAAACTTATGGCCAATTAATACAAGACAAAGTAGGCAAGAATATACAACAGAGAAAAGACAGTCTCTTCAATAAGTGGTGCTGGGAAAACTGGACAGCTGCCTGTAAAAGAATGACATTAGAACATTCTCTAACACCATATACAAAAGTAAACTCAAAATGGATTGAGGATCTAAATGTAAGATGAGAAACAATAAAACTCCTAGAGGAAAACATAAGCAGAACACTCTGACATAAATCACAGCAATACTTTTTTGGATCTGTCTCCAAAGCAAAGAAAATAAAAGGTAAAATAAACAAATGGGACTTAATTAAACTTAAATGCTTTCACACAGCAAAGGAAACCACTGACAAATCAAAAAACAACCTACTGAATGTGAAAAAATATTTGCAAATAATATGACTGATAAGGGGTTAATATCCAAAATATATAAACAGCTCAACATCAAAAAACAAACAACCCAATTAAGAAATGGGCATTAAGACCTGAGTAGAAATTTTTCCAAAGAGGACATTCAAATGGCCAATGGGCACATGAAAAGATGCTCAACATCATTAATCATCAGAGAAATGCAAATTAAAACCACATGAGATATTGCCTCACACCTGTCAGAATGACTATCATCAAAAAGAACACAAATAACAAATGTTGGTGAGGATGTGGAGAAAAGGGAACCCTCATACACTGTTGGTGGGAATGTAAATTGATGCAGCCACTGTGGAAAGCAGTATGGAGGTTTCTCTAAAAACTAAAAATAGAACTACCATATGACCCAGCAATTTCACTTCTGGGTATATACCTGAAAAAAGTAAAAACACTAATTCAAAAAGATACACGTACCCCAATGTTCACGGCAGCCTTATTTACAATTGCTGTGATAAGGAAGCAACCTAAGTGTCCATCAACAGATTAATGGATAAAGAAGACGTGGTGCACACGCGCGCACGCACACACACACACACACACACACACACACACAGGAATAGTACTCACTCATGAAAAAGAACGAAATTTTGCCATTTGCAACAACACGGATGGACTTGGAGGATATTATGCTAAGTGAAATAAGTCAGAGAAATACAAATACTGTATGATAGCACTTATATGCTATCATATAAAAAATAAAACTAGTGAATATAAAAAACAGACAGATACAGAGAACAAACTAGTGGTTACGAGTGGGGGAGGGAAAGGGGTAGGAACAAGATAGAGGTATGGGATTAAGAGATATAAACCACCTTGTATAAAATAAATAAGCTACAAAGATATATTGTACAATATAGGGAATATAGCCAATTTATAATAACTATAAATGGAGTATAAGCTTTTAAAATTGTGAATTGCTATGTTGTACACCTATAACTTATGTAATATTGTACATCAACTATACTTCAATAAATTCCCCAAAAAAGAGTATGGAATGTATAACTTACAGAATTTAAGAATATAAAAATGGTAAATAATTATAGAAACAAGCAATATGTAAAACCCAGTAAGTAATATTCTGTTTGTACTTGGCCTTGATTAAAACCTTACTATGGAACATGGAACAACATTTAGTTTAGGATTCTGTATTTGGAAAAGAATGTAGGTGTTATACAGTTGTTTTAGAAGAGTGCAAATAAAAAAGCTTAAAGAAATATAAAAGACTGAAAAGTTTAAAGCACCTTTTTTCTTTGGTGTGTGTGAGTGAGTGAGAGAGAAGGAGAGAAAGGGAGGAGAGAGGAGAGAGAGAGGGAGCGGGCAAGGGGGAGGGAGAGGGGAATTGTGTACTTGCTTTAGAAAATAACCTATGGCTGACTAAAGAGGGAGAATATTGACCAACTAATTCAGTAAATTAATGGAGTAATTTTTTTTTTCCTATCCAATGCTGCTTGCTATCATAATCGGGAAAACTGCAGGACATTATCTCTGATTACAAGATGTTTATACTTTCACTAGAAAGACAAAATTAATATAGTCATCCTAAACAAAATAAGGCTATATAAAATAAATTATGATTCAATCCCAAAATGAGTAGCTCAGACAATAAACAAGATCAGTATCTAGAGAAGAGAGAGATGAAGATGGGCCAGCCTACATATATTTTTCTCAGAGCTTGGATTTCCCTTACTTTCCCTGCTCTCTTCACCTGGCTTATGTCAGGTCTCCGCATTGTTAGAATCTCTGTAAAGCTGTTTCTGAACTATTCCTCTCCAGCCTCTACAACAATGCACTTATACAACTGAGTTCTGTACCCATTCTGTGCTTCCTCAGCTCCTGGCACTTGCCTGTGCCTCAGTTCTTCTCACTCTTTATTATAATTGCCTGTTTGCTTGTCTGTGCACCCCAGTAAAATGTGAGTTCCTTGAAAGCAGGGACCAGGCCTTATTTATTGCTGTATCTCTTACCTACTATGTGGCTTAGCATATACTAGGAATTTTATTATTATTTGAGGAAAAGAGAAAAAAGATGAATACTGTGTCAGTGCAAAGGGCACATCTTCCATCTCAACAACTTGATAGCAATACGTTGCTTATAGTTTTTTCTCAAAATGCTCCAACTGACAAGTAAGACTAATGGGTTAAGGATCCTGTCAT